CACTTGAGCATACGTGAGCGAGGCCATTGCGCACATGTTTAAGAATGGGATCCGCGACAACCAAAACTCTGAGGGGACAACATATGCTACTCTCTTGGTTGTCTTCGGACAACCCAAAAAAAACCTTAAATTGAGCAGCTGCTTATTTTACCTGCGTCAAAAGCTAATTTTAAAGGGGCCCTGCTATTCATGGTGATTACGTTCCCCATTCTGCGGGTGTGGTTGTTATTTTGGTAACCTTTTTCTTTGTTTTCTGTTTTTCTGCGAATATAGCCCAAAAATTGTTGAATTTTTGCCCTACGGCTGAGTACCGACTCCAGCGGTCCACCTCCTGTCGCCAATTGATTTGTGACCAGTTTCGCGCTAATCAGGTGAACCATGGTGAAATCGTTTTTCGCTGGGTTGAAAATGTCGCATCCGCCACGGTAATCGAGAAGAAGTGTGCCAAGGGGAAATTCAGCACTGGTCCACACTTATACGCCATGGCTACTTCTTATAGCGACCATTTCGTCGGACATTTATTTATGGACTACTTCTTACGACATGCAAACGCACTCTAAATGCATAATAGTCAAATAGTTAAATAATGCTAGTCTAGGGAGGTCGCATATGCCTACTCCCTACCCTAACACTACCCCAAGGCCTATCCCTAACCATAACTATTAACCGACTGACTTTCTTATATGCGCGGTAGTCATAGTACAAAAATTCAAAGTCTATGTTGCAATGAATCAAATATACAGTGTGGCCAAGGGAAAAATTTAGCACTATCCGCACGTAATCAAATAAGTGTGGCCGCAACGGAAACATTCGAGCTTCCGGCCACGATAATCAAATCAGTGGGCAAGCGAAACAATCAGCAGTCTATCCGCACGCAATCAAAATAGCGGCTGCTGGCCAAGGCGAAAAGTTCAGCACTCGGCACACACTTATAAGTGTGCGATGTCCTTAAAATTATAATGCGATGCAAGAGAGGAAAATGCAGGGGAAATACGGACAAGCTTGATGTGCAGGGAATTTTTACGTCGTGTCATTGGAATAGACGAGCTAATTCCGTGGGGGCGCGAAGATGTGACGACAGAACAGTTATGATAAAATAGAGACATCGGGAAAAAACAGCAATTCATGGAACAATAACGGTCGGTGAAAATCATTAGATAAAACGCACATAGAGCACTTTATAAAGGGAAATTTTCCTAAACAAGAACCGTTTACAATAATAATGAGAGGTAGAGCGGGATGCTCCCCATAATAAAAGAACCAGGAGATGGTTAGGGGAAGAAAATTGCACTGTGTGCATAAGGGAGAACAGAAGACCTAAAGCATTTTCTGTTAGTTTGCCCTCATACAAACACCTAGGAAGATCATGTGGGATGTACAGCTCAAGAAGTGGGGTCACCTTGCACAGCTGGAGGAAGCAGG